ACACACTTCCACTCTAAATAAATTTTGAATACAGACATGTTAAAACAGTGATCCCTTGCCAAAGTGTTCATTAAAGGGATGATTGAGAAGTTTCAGAAAATGCCAATTTCTTGGGCTTTTTGAGAAAAAGTCAAAATCACTGCCGCATCCCACAGCTGTCCACTGATGACTCCATTCCACATCACCCACCTTACCTGCTCAGCGAGGCCCTCCCAATGGGGGGCTTGCTTCCTAGCACATCCTGACCAGGAAACTCTGCAGCATGGAAATGTGACATCCCAGTAAGTTCATCTTGTGCTTATAAGACCAGGGTATTTTGATTTTATGATAGAATTAAAATCTATGTATTATTGCAGCTTCTGTAGGAGGTACTCAGCACTTCACGTTTTCTGAGAACAAAGGGGCCCCTCATAGAAGAGAGGGAAAGACAACATAATTGTTCATCACTCCCTGCTTGCTGAGTTTCAGCAGAAGACAGCAATAGCCATTAGTCAGGAAATAAGAACCCCTTCTCAGCACTAGCTCATTCACCCTCCTCCCCAGGAGGCAAAGAAAAACGGAAAATGTCCCCTGGAGCCATGTGAACTAACCTTAAACAGATACATTCAAGAGATTACATGAATTTGACAGACACAGAAAAGAAATGAGAAGGCCTTTGTTTGCAATGCACAGCAATTCTTCCTACTCCCACTCTGGGCAGGAGTGGCAAAGAACAGAAAGGAAATTCCAGAGTGGACAGAATGTTCCTCTCCATTCACCCCCAAGCCCTTTAAGACCCTGTGGGCCTGGCCCAGGGAATGCCATTGATAAGTGCAACTGAATATAAAGAAGGCAAGCCTTTGCATGTTTTTTTTCCAAGAGTTATGAGTGCTACAATTACAAACATCAAACTGATCCTTCCTTGGTAAGAATGTCCTTGGATGCTCGTCTGAACTAGAAGTAATGCATGTGGCCTGGACACCTGGAAGTGGGGGCACAGCAGTCTTTGGGAAGCCATCATTCATTCTATGCAAGAGGGTCATTTAGTTGCAAGATGTGCCCACAGATATTATAATATGGCAATAACACCTTTCTTGGTGGAATTTAGATCTTTATTAAAAGCAGTGAATAAATCATGAGCTCATTGGGGAAGATATTTGCCAATTAACAAGTAGCAGCTGTTTTTCTTTCTTTTTTAAGGGCCCAGCTGATTAAAATTGCATGCCTCATTTAAGCAAGAGTCTCATGTACTTTACCTGGGAAGAAAAAAAAAAAAAAGGCTGAGCATCCTTTATTCAAACAAAGTACATGCTTCTGTGATTCATTAAAACGCTCTCCAACCGAATGCAAATCATCAACCCACAGAAGCATTTTCACTTGCTCTGTATAATGTGTGCATTTTTAATTCTTTGTTTAGCAGGATCTGCCTCCTTAAAAGAGTCTGCACAATATTGTAACAATAGCATAAGGGATCAGCATCCCGCCAGCACAGCCTGCCTCATTCAGAAAGCAGAGGATGCCTGACTTCTACCACCCAGTAGCACCCCAGGAGACCTGTTCTGCCTGCCTGCAGGCACTTGTGCTGGACCTAGCAATGAGACAGTGTGACACTCCAGCACAGTGGGCCATCACCAGCATGCCCTGGTTCCATAGGGGTCTTATCTAACTGCCCACAGAAGCTGTGGGGGGTAAGCACAAGCATCTGGACCAGGCAGCTAGGCAGGAGGAGGTACAGGAACCCGTGGGCAGCTAGGCAGTCCGGCTGCTCTCTGCCTTCCTGAAGGATTTCCACATGGCATACCAGCAACAGGGAAACTCCAGCCAGAAGACCTAGAAGTCCCTGCTCTGGCTTTGCTGTGCTACTGAGAGGGTACTAGTGACCACCTGAAGCCCACCACAGTTGGTTTCAGAACAGCCATCATCACTTCCCCTATAGGTCCAGGTGGATGGGCCCCAGTATTTCCTATAGACACCAGTGTGAGCCAAGAAAGCCAACATTTCTTTTCATACTCTTAACTCCCACTCATGAATAAATGCCTACAGGACACAATCAAAAGCCACATAAAATGTACATAAAAGCCAAATGTCACACTGAATGTAACTGAAAAATACTTTGCTCACAAAAGGAGTATTTTCTTTATATAACCCAAAACAGACCGATCTGTATTGTGAGTGGCCATGAAGGACTTTTCTGATCATTTTAACCTGCTCAATATGGTAGCCCAAAGATGACACTGAACACTACATGGTTAAAATGTCTTCAAACGTCAATCTCAGAAGATACTATAAAACTGGGAAAAGGACAAAGTGGTCAAAGGCTCTGTGGCCAGCCTCCTTGGCCACCCCCTCTGCAAGGATTCCTTCCAGAACACTCTGCGGCTGGAGGCAGCACTGTGCATTCCTCACAGGACCCCAAGAATCAAATGTGTCTGGCCAGTCAAGACACACACTGAGTGGACTGACCCCTTCAGAGAGGATACTCAAACACCCAGCGGCCAAGCACACACTCCTGGCCCCTTCCGAAGCAAGGCAACTCCGCCATGGTGCCAGTGTCCACGACCAGGACCGTCCTAGAACAAAGTCAGGCGTCTCCGATTCTGTGAAAGCATAATGGACGTCCCTCGTGTCACACGCTACAGGAAGCCCGGGCAGTAAGAATGCTCCCACGGTGCGTACACACGGAATCCTTCCTGCTCTGTGAGGCCGGGGAAAGGCCGGACACTGCCTCTGCACTGCGTCTCGTGCCTGTGCCCTGGACTCGCCCGCCTGGAGCACCGGGTACTCACTGGTCGTGGATACCGAGATGACGGGGCTGTACTCGCAYTCTCCAGAGGGGCTGGTGACCTTCAGTCGGAATCTGTAGAGTGTCCTCGGTTCCAGACCTTCAATGACGTGCTTCGTTGCATATCCCCTAGACGGGAGGAGACACGACACACTGCTGAAGACACCAGGTCCTCTGGCGGGCATCCTGCGTAGGTTGTGACAAGGGCAGGGGGGAGCGACTTTTGAATACTGTCTGTGTCCAGTACAGAGCTGGTCATGGGTTTTTTAATGCCTTGAGAACAAAGGACAGGTCACACTGGCACCTCTATCCCTTCCCAGCACATGCCCTCCTGTCCACAGGGCCTCACCCATGCCTGGCCCCTCGCTTGCATACAGTTTTGTAGCCTGGAGAAGTCATCATTCCAACCCATGTCACTTATCCTTAAAGGACAAAGTTACATGTTTGAACTTGCAACTTGCATGTATTTGAGTTTCAAGTGGGATCTTCCGTGGCTGGGGGAGGCTGCCTCTCAGCTGCGTACTTGAGGCCCAGCGCTGCAGGGAAAGGCCCCAGGGCAGTGCCCTAAAGACTGCTGGCAGCTCAGGAGCAACCCACGGCAACCGGAGGGCCAGGTGCATGGAAAAGAACCCAGACAGCTTGTGATGAGGTCAGTCCACCAGCAAACTCTGTTTTAATTTTTTTTTTTTTTTTTGAGACAGAATGTCCCACTGTTGCCCAGGCTGACCCTGAGCGTACAGGCTCTATCAATCCTCCTGCCTCAGCCTCCCCAGCTGCACTGGCAAGTCTTTAAACCCTTTAAAATGTATTTTGAGTTCAATCATTTATGTTCTGCTTTCTCCCACCTCAGTTATTGCAAAAGTTTCCCAATTGCTCCTTCCCACGGCATGCCGCCTTGCCCCCGACAGCCCAAGCTCAACCCGCAGCCAGTGTGTCCGCACAGAGCTTGAGCCAGGCCTGCCCTGCCCAGCGTACCCACCTCCTTTGGCTTTCCCACTTCAGATCAAAAGCCAGAGGTCCTCCCCACAACCCACAGGCTCTCATGACCTCACCAGCCTCGCCCTTGTTCACGCCACCCCCGAGTCCCTGGACCGCTGTCTGCCCTCTCCCACCTCAAGGCTTTCCGCTGGCCACTTGCTCTGCCTGGAATGTTCCAGGTACCCCTCACTTGCTTCAAGTCTTCACTCAGAAGTTACTTTCTTGTGAAATTCCCCCCMCACACACCCCTAGACCCCAGCTTTTCCTATGGTTTTTCTCCTTAAGAGATCACACCTGGCACATTTATTTATGACTAGTCTTCCTCACCACAAGGAATTTCTGCCTGTCCCCAGTGCCATGTCCTCAGCATCCAGGACAGTGCCCGGCACATTGCTGGCACTGAATGATACATGCCAGTGGATGCAGAGATGAGAGATGGGGCCAGTTACCACAGGAATGGATGGGCAGGGCAGACCACAGGGACGTTCTCAGTCGAGGGAGACTCTGACCTGGCAGGAGAAAGGATGGGATGAAGGGGGAYGCGTGACACACAGGGAGAAGAGTAGACACACCTGTAGAAAAAGTCAAGGCATGTTCAAGACAGGAAGCAGACCTAACAGGAGGGTCATGCTCAGAGATGAGGCAACAGGAGAGGCAGTGGGCAAACTGTAAAGAGAAGCAAACCTTAGTCTAAGGAGCTTGACCTTCATCCTGCAGGCAAGGACACCTGCTGGAGATAACTTGACAAAACGAGATTGAACAAGAAAATTAACCTACAGGATAGAACAAAGGAATAGAAGGCAGGAAAAGAGGAGCAAAGCCCACTCCTGAAGGCGACATGGGTGTTGGGCATTGTGGGCCAGGGTCCACGGTGGTGCTTGCATTCTACCAGACTAAAATGCCCTGCTTAATGAGAGGGTATAAGAGGACCTCACCAAGGGCCAGCTCACAAAACCAGGTAGCTGTCTCTGAGAAGCCGTGGAGGGGAGCCCAAGTCAGGAAGAAGTTCCTAAATTCACAGGCCCATCATCAGATGATCTGGATAATTGCTTTTTTAAAGGAAGACATTTGCTGGTTTAATGCAATCTAGAGCACAGGCCAGAACAGAACAAAAGAGGTCAAGGCTAACATAGTGCACGCCTGCCACCTAGCGTCAAGTTGGAGCATCCAAGACTCTCAGGGACCACAGGAGCCCAGGCATGTCCCTGGAGCTGGGGTCTGCAGCAGGGCCACCACTCGGCAATACCAGCCAGCATCCGAGGCCATTCCCTGGCCCCAGGGCAACATGGTCTCGAGGGAGAATATAACGGTGCAAATGCACACATGATGCTGGGACATGAGCACCTACCTTCCCTGTGACAAGGTGAGCATCTACCTGGCCACCTAGCAGAAGGAAAGAGCCAAGAGGAAGCAAAGCAACACCTGGGACGGCTCCCTCCAGGCCACAGGCAACGGTGGCAGGAGGGCTAAGGGAAAAAGGTGACACCTTGTTTCCTTCTCCATAGAAATTCTTAAAACTAGTGGGATTCATGCTTTTAGAGGCAAACCACCATCACAGAGGAATATATGGCATGATTACAATAACATCTTCAGGTGGTCAGGCCAGGAATTATTTTCCCATGGTAACTACATTTCAGATTACCTTTTCCTCCCTCTGATACAGAGAAATGTTGCTCAAATATTGGAGATATTAACACTTAGGTAACATGCTTCCTGTGTGCACTCATGTGCATAGGAAGGGAGCTGGAGACACTTTGCAAGGGGACACTGTGTAATGTAAGATCAGGAAAGTTGGCCACCATGGACCACATGCGGGCTCATCCCACACTCTGAACATGGCCTGCTAGAAGCCTTGCTTCATTTCATCAGACTCTCTTTTGTTGCTCTCTCTCCATTTTGGATTTCTAAAACATACCTTCAAAATAGTTCCAAAGTCAAAGAAGCTCTCAAGGTACAGGAGGCTTAATTTCAAAGTCACGGCTAATGCTTTTTTCTGAAAATTATAATTCAGAAAAGAGCATGAATGCAAATTGTGCTGACTCATTCTTCTAATTTCAAAACAAGCAATGGCTTTTCAGAGATAATAGAAATTGCTTTAGACGATCAGGAAACCAAAGCCAAAGGGTAAGCAATCCAACGTTGCACCTACGTATAAATGATACCGTAAGTGTGCGTTTTGGGGTCTTCTTCCTCGATTGAGAATCTAAGCCACTGTTCCTGAGGACCTTGCCGTTTCTCCTTCTTTTCCAGATCCCAGTATAACTCAATGCTGTGATGAGTCACTTTGCCCACAACAGGTGGATGAGGCCTTGAGGATGGCAGGGTTTCTAAAAAAAGAACAATACAGGATTTCAGAACCCCATTTCCCTAAGGAAGAGAGACTGCYGAGTGGACTTCAGCTGCTCCGTGACCCAACTGTTTCTCACACGTCAGGCACACGTGGGTGCTGACACCTGGAAAGCTGAGGGGACACCAAACTCAGGAGCTAATTAATATGTCAATTCCAAAGATAGCTGGCCTGGAATCCCCAAAATACTACCAACCAGGACCTTACAGGATTACACCCAGACAGAGTTGTGCATTCTGTGATAAAGGTGTTGGTATTTTCATCATAAACATCCTAAAATCTATATGTTAGCACATTGTTTTAGGATCCTAAAGTAACTGGCCAAAGTGAAAGCTTCACCAGGGCAAGAGAGCAGAGGCCAGAGCTGTAATGAGAGTGACAGAAGTGCCAAGTCACAGGCCCAGCCACAGGGTGGAGGCAGCAACAGTGGCATTGTGAGGCCGTTTGTGCCAGATACTGTCCCAGACCCTTTACACTTATTCATTCAACTTCACCAACTCCGAACAGTTTCAGACACAAAGAGTTTAAGTAACTTGCCCAAGATCACACAGAAGTAACCAGCAGAATCAGTATTATAAAAAAATGGTCTGGCTTACGAGTCCCCAACGTTTAACTCCATGCCCCACTGCCCCTTAGAAGTACAGGGGTAAAACGTAGACCTGGGATGAAGAAGGTCTTCCATTTATTGACTTATTCTCCAAATCATTCATTTTTAACTCAGATTTAACCACAGTGAAATTTTAAAATAAGAAAACTTGACCCAAAAAAGGTAAGCCAGGAAATTGTTTGAACGAAGTCCAGGGCTGCTGTGCAGAGGGGAGGTCCCAGTCCACTGACCTTCAGGAACCCAGTCCTTGAAAAGGAAGAGGGCCCGAGAAGTCCACATCCACCAGAAGTGGAGGCCAGGAAGGCAACAAGGCTGGGCCCAAGTCCACCTCCAGACACCACAGGGGCAAGAGCCAGCCAGTTGCTTTCTCAGGCTCGGCATGGGACATGGAGGGGCAAGAGCCACAGTGACGGGCAGGAGAAGGTCCCAGAATGTGAGGCCATGTGCCGCTACAGCCGGAAAAACTCTGAGCTTGAGCAGAGAACACGCTTCAGCAGGAAGGCACTCTGGGCAGTCCCAAGGTGCAGCAAGCTCTTCCTCTGTGAACTCACCGTCCCAGCTTTCCTAGCAAGCCAGGACTGCAGACAGGCGCGTGAATCCATGGCTGCAGCCCCGGCTCCTCCGACCTGGGATTTAACCTACTGTCCGCATAACAAGTAACATAGCTTCCCTAACACAAAAAAATCTTTTGAAAAACTCAAAAGCTGACCATTTTGTTTTTATTTAACCAAAATGTTTTCATAAATATTATATGAGTTTTATAAAATGTATGCAACCTATCCACAGACATCCATAGGCACAATTTGCACATTTTTTTTTATACACAATACTTTTAAAACTCTACTTTTTCCTGGTTAGAAGTTTCAGATCTTTTAAGAGAAGCTTTTACTCAATTTTTTTAAGTCTAATAACCAGGTTAGAAACTATCTCAATCTCAAATCATAAATTAAGGTTTAAAATTTAAATTTTCTAAAGATTACAAACAAAAATTATAACAGAACTTGCATTCAAGTTGGCATGGTAACCTTTAAGTGATTGACATGATCTTCCAACTTTTCCTATCTTGAATGTTTTCCCCAAAAATGAAAAATGAAAAACAACAATACTACAAGTAGTAGCTCAAAAGAGTGATTATACAAGAATTTATGTACGTTAYGTACCATAAAAGCTTTTCATAAGAAAGTCCTCATGCAAATATGACAAATAAAATACTGTTATGCCCTGGTACCATTTGCCAAGTAGTAAATAATGTGAACATGAGTAATGAAAGACTTCATGCACTGTCACCATTCAGTCCCCATGGTTACTTAGAAGATGGCATAAAACTTGACTCTCAAATACATAAGAAACCCATAGTAAAAAGCTATCTTACAAATCATGGTTTTAAAAGAAGAAACCCGTAGAGTTTAAATAAACTACTATACGATATGAAGATTTAGCATCCAAGTTTTCTTAAAAGGGTCATAATTAAAATTAATACAAAAGTGCCAATCCCATAAAACTCAAATTCCTGAAAAATATCAGACCACTCAGGAGTCTTCTTAAAACCAGCTGATCCTATTTCAAAAGCTCTAGAGATGACTGGTGAGCATACTCTGAATTGGAATTAGCAGTTGTAATTGGCGTCATGAAAAGTGGGAAATAAAGAGAAAAGGTGAGTACATCCATCATGTAGGTAGAGACACCAGGAGCAGAATTGTTTCCTTGTCCTTCCAGAAAAACACCTGAAAATTTACTGAGGCCAAATCTCACTGACAAGGGACCACTGCAGCCTGGGCTCCTACAGCAGATGTGCACAATGAAAGGGACACCATGGTGAGGAGCACTGAATGAGGAGCAGCAGAGGCTGCACCTCAGAGTAACTGACCACGCTTGGCCCAGTAATTATAGCATAAAACTTGACCCCCAGGAATCAAAAGCACTCAAAATCAAGATACTACGGCAATCACAAGCATTCCTGCATTTTGGATTTTTAAAGTATCAAACACATTTTTGCCATGAATATATACTGAAAAGGGAATTTTTAAAACCAAATATTAAGAGCCACCCAGTGAGGACAGTTTCTCCCTCACTTAAAAATTAGGCAGCTAAAATAAGTTTTTCTCCCACTCCTCTGTGGAGTCTATGAATCCCTGATGGGTGAAAGTGCCAAGCACATAAGTCGAGATATCGAGATTTTTAAAATGATAACCACCACTAAACACAATTAAGGGAATGCTCAGTTTCTACTAAGCAAAGAGGGGGCATTAAAATAATTGTGAGGTATGATTTTATTTATAACATTGGATGCAAAACATGTCATTGTGATACCCCATGTCGTTTGAAGCTCTGGTGAAACTGGTGTGATCATGGATTGTAGCCACGAGGTACCAAAGCAGTTCAGCCACATTCTACAATGATTGTAAGACATCCCACTGCTGGTCCTACTCCTAAAAAGCATCTAAAGAATTCAGAAACCAAAAAGTGGAAATGGCAAAAATGTTTTTGAATTATACATGCTTTTAGTTTTTATTATGGAAGAAATTTTCAGAAATAAAAACATCAAATAGTATAGCAAATCCCCTTGTGCCATCATCCTGTTATCAACATGATCAGGGCCAGCCTTACCTTTCATCCACTTCCATCTCTCCCCAAACCTGGGTTACTTAATGGTTAAATGTTAATGACATGTCACTTTGTAGCTGCACCCTAAGCTCTTTACACATGTTTTTTTAAACTTCACAACACCCCCATGAAGTGGGAGAATTTCCCCCACTCTACAAATAAGACTATTGCATATGAAGGTCACATAACTTGCCAGACAGGTCACTTATCAAGCAGCAGAGCAAGGATTAGAGCCCAGGAACTTGATTCCAGAGCCAGGCCCTTCACTTCAAGGACAAAATCAGCTTAAACATAAAAGACAACCAGAGACACTGCCCCCTAGAGTGGAAATCTGGAACTGCTTCCTGTCCTGGCTCTACCATGGATTTTCCTCATCAGGAAAATGGGAATAAATAAGGATCCTGCCCTACCTCTCAGATTTACTACAGAGGAAAAAAAATAACATGATAAAATATCAAAAAGCTTCCTCCAACCTAAAGTAAGGGTAATGCTTTTGAAAAACGCCAAAACACACACCTATTTCACTTTTTGTACATGGAAACCCTGCTTGAGATTCCATGCAGATAATGGGTGGAAGGCAAAATAGAAAATGTGCTTCCAAGACATTTCTTTTGCTTAACTGTAATAACGTCAATTTCCTGCCGGTGTGTGCTAGGCACGGCATTGTACAGGACACTCCATCCATAGTGTTCTCAACCCCCGCTGAGGGCAGGAGAGGCAGAGACCATGGCTTGAAGAGGGAAAGCAGCTTTCAAGGCTCAGATCCCGGTGTGGGGAGCCAGGTTCCAGCCCAGGTCTCTAATTTCACACTCTACGCTCTTTCCTCCCAGGCTGCGCCTAACAGGGAGTTCCAGAGCTTTACTATGTAAAGGAACAATGAATCTATAAAATGACAGTCTTTCAAAATCAGATATGTAAAGTCAAACTGCTATATATATTCTTGCAAAACAGTATGTCACTGACATTTGAATTACAGTGAAAATGGTGGGATATTTTATCTGAAGCACTAGATATGCATATGATTAGCTTATATGCATTCTTATGAAAAGCGGGATACTAAAGGTAATTTCCAAGCAAATTCAACAAAAAAACGAATGCCAACAAAATACACTTGACCTCACTGATCATCAGAACACCACAATTAAAATGACAACATTTCATTTTTGTCAAATTTGTTCAAATCGATATTTGCCAACAGCCATGAAGAGAAGAGTGGGAATGCCCCACGCTGGAAAGTGCAGACCGCGAAGAGGCTGAGCGGAGTTCAGGAGGACACACTCCTGGCCCAGCAATACCACTCCTTGTTACAGAGGTTGAGTCACAAAAGAAAGGTGTAAAATGACCTGCAAGATACAATCTACATGAAGCTTGATTTAAAAATCTGTTCGTGTAGAATGGAAGGAAAGGACCGGAATGGCAGAAGAATCATTTTATTGGCAATGTCTTGCTTCTTAAGCTTGGGTGGTAGCAAATGAATATTTATTCTGTTATTTCATATACTTTATGCCTAAACTGTTTAATAAAAGAAAATAACCAGTTCCTGAATTCATGGATATACTTTCACCCTTATTCTCTTCTTACCCATTTCCCAAGAAAATGGGTATCCAGGTGAGCTATACTTCAAAACAAGTAGAACTTAAAGTAATTCAGTCTCAAATTCAGAAACTCATGAGAGCTGGGAGCCTAGTATTTTCTGTGTTCTGATGACACTTCTCAGTCCACCTAGAGACTAAGCTCCTTTGAGGAAGGTAAGCTGAGGTTCCTTCGTT